TTCTACATCAATAAACAAAATTCTTTTAGATGCACAAATAAAAGAATACAACACAAAAATAGCAACAAGACAGAACACATACGACGAAGAACATAACAATGTAGACACAACGCCAACAGCACCACAGTTACCACCCCTACCACATAACCATCCATTATCCCTAGTCCCACGTAATTTTCGAAACTTAGCAATAACACATAATCCAAATTTAAGACCAACCATATCACTAAGTCCCATCCAACATATAATGACACACCACTCACAAGATGAAAATACCTATGAACAAATTATAGAACAACCCCATACCACCGCTTTTCAGTCTCAAAATAATAATTTTTTTAGCCCACGATGAGCCGACAACTTGGATCCCTACACCGTTCAAATTCCCATCCAACCAACCTCACTACTCCAATTACAATAATACCACTTTTTGCTTTCCCACCACCCGATTTCCCAACCAGTAATGTAACATCAGGCATGAATTCCGATACTAATTCACACATCTCAGTTTTATACTCCATATCATAACTCAATAACCCGAATATTGAAACCCCCGATGAATTTGCCGACTCTGAACCATCTCCATCCAATAATTTTCACACCAACCCCTCAATTTTTTCCCAACCCCCTTTTCAACCAATGATACCAAATAACCCTGTCCCCACCAATTCTACACCCTCTTATGCTTCCCAAGTCACTCCAACCTATTCTTCATATCATTCAGACCGATCATCCAATTCTCCAGATACCCCCCAAATCTCCCCAGAACTAGATAATTTTATTACATTACAACAACAACCCTACCACCTTGACACCCCCACCATAAACCAAATTTCATCCACAATAGATTCATCCAACCCTCCTACCCCTACACCCTCTTCAATTTATACCGAATCATTAGCACCATCATCCACATCTACTGAATCTTCACTCAGCACTAATAGAGCTTACCGCACTTTTAAAAGAAAGTTCCCCAACCATCCTTTCCCAGCAAAACCAGGAACAGCCCGTGAATATATAAATCACCCAAATCACACTAATACAAAAGAATTTTTAGCTATCACCTTACCCTCATTTCCACAATACACCTTAAACACCCCTCACGACACTAACGAAACACATAACTTTGTAGACGAACACGTTTTAATGCCTACCCTTCCTTGGACCTCATATTATCATTTTACTAATCCCCTTTGCTTACCTTTATCTAACACTCACATCGATATAGAACGAAATAAGGACATGCTATATCGACTCACTACACCACTAACACCTAGACAATTTACTTACATAGGATATAAAAAATCACTAAAAACATACACTGCACCCCGAGCTAACGAATATACGCTAGAATATTACGATCATAACATCATCAGAACTAACCAAGATCAATTCTTAGACGATGACCGCTTCGCTAACCCACAAATCACAGAAAAATTTTTCATTAAAACACCATATGTATTTACACTCAATATATTTGATCGCAAATTTGACCACATCATCTCAGAAGCACTAACAGACACGCAAGCCTACGAAAGTTTTAAAGAACGCTTCCAAATATTTTCACTAACCTTTCATTTCCTTGCACCACATGAAAGAGATCTGCACTGCTCACACGATATTATGTTGCGCACTAAACAAACTCACACATATACATATTATCGTTTTATCCAAAATCACTTCGACCTACACACTCTCTCCAGACAACCACACCACCGTTTTCAATTCATCAATTCCAAATACACCTCACCATTCTTTCTTAACTTCACATATTGCATTAAAGATACTAACCTTCATGGTATTCTTCGAAATTATGATCCCATAACCCAAATGTATATTTTTTGTCCCATCACCAAGACCTTCAACGCAGAAGAATCCCGACCCTTCCTTCTCCCACACGAATTTGTTCAACCTATAGAAATCCCCATTTTAGAATTCATCCACAACACTAAATCAATCACAAATTATATAATCTAATCCAAAACACACCTTATGAGTTTGCAGTTGGCACTGAAGAACTAACCACCATTAAAGCACTTCAATTGCTTTGGCCACTGCTTCAAACTAAAAATATCATCCGCATCTTAGCTAAATTACTAACAACTTCAGATCTCATCCACGACATCTTCCCCCACGGTTTCTTCCCCGACGACTAACAGGTAAATATGAATTATACATATTATTAACTAATTAAATTAAAATTAGAAACTAACCATTCTTTATTCATGTCTTCTTTAGAATTTTAGCCTTCATCCAACGATCATCTGAAAAATTCACAAAAGAAAATAAAAATTGAACACTTCTTCAAACTGTTTAAAACTCTATTAATTTTTTGCACCAAACAAATCACTAAAAATAATACCAATCCAGTAATTTAAATTATAAAATTTTTCCCAAATGCAGAAAATCTAATAATGATGAAAATTTGTAACTTAATTTTCCCCAACAACTAGCAGTAAATTTGCATTTCTATGTAATAAATTGATAAAACGAAAATGCAGTACTAACCTTTTGATATTTCCATTCATTCGCACAAAGATTCTATCCACACTCGCACAGCTCGCCCACGAAGAATTGTTTAAAATAATGAATTTCAGTTTCAAGCTTTCACACTCAACAACTCTAACACACGATAACAAGTTTCAAACTTTCCTTTCACCCGGTTGGAAAGGAATTATATACTAAACAACACTAACCAACGCAGCTTACTAAACACCACAAATCATAGAATAACAGCATGACTAAGAAAAGGAAACCAACGGTACCCAAACCGGATTAACCCAGTTTAAAACTGGATAATTTATTCTTTTGAAGACTATTATAAAGTCTAAGAAAGAAATAATAAAACACAAAAAAGTCGAAAGACAAACCCATACCAAAAACAATTTGATTTTTGAAAAAAGGACACAACCAACAAAACATAAGAAAAACCACAACAAACCCAACATAAAACGTTGTCACATAACAGGATCTCTCACAAAAACCGCATGCAATCATACTCCCACTCCTGGCCTAACCCACCAGAAGAGGACGTCCTGAGCATGCTCTATAGCCGGCCTAACCCACCGTGCTACATCCACGCTTTGTGACCACACTCCTATTTTTAATAAGAGCTACTCAAGGGTGAGTAACTCTTCAAAATAACTGAACTAAAACAAAAAGCTTTTGTGAAAACAACTAACCAAAATCATAACTAAAACATTAAACTAATAAAAAATTTATAAAATGTAAATTATATCTTGCAGTATATATATCAGCATACAACACCAAAGACGAACATCCAAAGACAAGATGACCCCACTACACTCGAAAAAGAATGGCCAACCACAATCAATATGCCGCCCACAATCACAACTCAAAGGATTTAGAGTACGACTTGACTTCGCAGAAAAGGACTTCATTGAACTAGAACAATGACCACCTCGATGTTCAAGTATACGTACAGATCCGAGTAACCAGGTATCCCCTCCACACACAATCTCCACGCCATTCCCAGACAAGGTCAAACACAAAAGAAGTTCTCTACATGAAACGGAAAAACCTGTCATAGCCAACCATTCTGAAATCAGATTTGAGTTTGTTGCGAAAACCCAGTCGTTGTCTTGAGAAGACACAACGATTGAATCTGGGACTTCTCTAATAAGAAAACCCAGAAGAAATAAGATGTTCGCCAAATACCAACGTCCATCATCCATCCTTTGAATTGCAGAAAGACTATTCTAAAAAACTCTGTAAAACCCGGATGGGTGGAACCTGATCTAAACTACATTTTATGATTGGATAAATTAGATATTTTACCACTGTAAAGTATTTAATATTAACCAATCATGATCCATCTAACTAACAACCCACTTATTTGTAAGTGCTGAAATTACTTGTAATTTCAGCACCAGAGAGATTTGAATTTAACTTAGAAATTAGTTGACTCTCCAAGAAGACTTCAGCTGCCGCAATAAACCAGTATACCCTAGATCTATTGAGCCTAGCAGAGACTAGTTAAACAACCTGAGACTAGATAGTATAAGAGTAAGATTAGGATCGGTATTAGACTAAGAAGTTGCACGAATCTATCCGGCCGAAAATAAGATAGCGTGACGAGCAGACGGTGTACCCTATCCGAAATTACTCTATGAGTTATACACTTCGGTCCTAACTCATTATGGCTATTGTAAGTGACTCAAAAATATTTCTGATCTAATAAAAATTACAGATCAGAAGGGCCTGGCCGGCGTGAAGCCTATTTTTGAATACTTCATATCTCAGCAGCGAGAATAGATTCCGCTCAAGTAAGCGTAGTGTTTCCGTAGCTTAGACAGCTTGTTTACATTGTGCTGTAACTTTTTTTTAGTCTTCTTGTTTTTTTGTGTCTTCCCCTTGATACCGCAACACTTTGCATTAAAAGCCCGAGTTTGACGAAAATGACAACTGACAAAGCTTGAAAAGTAGTTCTTAACTCAGCATTGACAAGTAGCGACCGCTTCCTCGGCTGCGCTTGCATTAGTCAAAAGTGGTATTCATTCGGCACGCTTGCTCGACTGCGCTTACTTTCTACACACGTGAATCGGTGTTTGCCGCTATCTAGATTGTAGTTAAAGAGACTTGTGTACTTTTTATTTATTGATGCGAGTTGTCGCTTTCCCTAAATTTTGTGAGTCGTCTTTGTTGTGAGTTGTCGTATTACGCTTCCTTTTAGTTGTTTCAGTTTAAAAAATGCTTCCGTTGTAGCACTTTTTTTCCTTTGTAGCTTTTTATTTCAAATTCATATCAAAGGGCTTTCTTTGACGCTTTTTGTCCATTTTACTTAAGCTAGCGATCGGAAAGTTGAGAAATTCATTGACTGTATATTGTCTTTAGGGACAGATGAAAGTATAATCTGGCAAAACACTTCATCTTTAAGCGGTAATTTCCATCACAAAACACGGGGCTCACTTGCACCATGCTTAACAAAATCTAAATTTTATCTGTCTAAATTTATTCATAATTTAGCAAGACCACCTGCCTGTGTAGCTACCGCATGTAGTTTGTATTAATAGCGAACGAGGTAGATCTGTGCGGTAAAACGCTCTAATGCGCACAATGGTAGCAGTTTAGTTTTTCTCTAGCCTTGTTCTTCATTCCTTCAAGTGGATAAACATCAGGTGGTTTTCATAATTTATAATTAAATTAACCAACAAGGTATTAAATAATGCGGCTTCTTAACAATGCTTTTCTATAGATATTGCTAAGCTATTGACTTCTAATCCAAAACTTAAGATTGATTCCCTTTTTTTGATGATTTCCAAGAAACTTCATTACGTCAGTATACGTTTGCAAAAGTTAATCTGCCAGAATTCTATCTTCTTGACAGCTTTTTTGAGACATAGGTTTTTCCAGTTATTTCTCAGTTTTTACAAAAAGACTAGTTGGCTGAATTATTATTCAGTTTTAAGTTGAAAATTTTTGCTAGTTGTTAATCAGTTATAACGTTATCAATATGGCAGAAGCAGTAAAAGTAATAGTGCGATGTCGACCTATGAACACACGTGAACGGAACTTGAACTGCGGGGAGGTGGTCTCGATGACATCGCAGACTCAATGTACAATTGTGAACCCAGACGCTCAAAGCGACCCCCCGAAAGATTTCACGTTCGATGGGGCCTATTTCACAGATAGCACCACTGAACAGATTTACAATGACGTGTGCTTCGACTTAGTAGAGGTAGACTTTTCGAAGTTTATGTTTCCATTTGGCTGTTCGTTTAATTTAGTTTGTTCATCTATTCAACCAACAGATGAAAGGCCTTTTTGGCGACAATTCCGCTTTCTACGATAAGCAAGTGTATCGAAACCGGGTACTAGACTTTGTTTTGCCGCAGACAACTTTGCCCACAGGATGAATAAAATTGGAGTCATCTCCATATTTAGTATCTTTTTTGCATGCAATATGTTTTCTATTGCAGTGAGTAGTACTGTATCTGTCTGAAATTGTAAAATTATTTTTTAGCTTGGGAAGAAAAAGGACTCGTGTCTGCCTGTTTTTATCGGCTTAGTTTCCGCATTAAGTAATTTTTGTGAAGGTTCAGCTGTTTTAGTCATTTTAGAATCCTCTACTAAACATTTGCAACGGTGCAGGTCACTGGTTCCAAGAGGTGCAGGTTCCAAGATTTTATATAGTTTTCCTTTTACTTTCGTGTTTTTCAGTGGTTTAAATCGTTGTGGTTTTTTTTATATTGGTTTAGTTGACTGCAACTACATCGTTTGAGGAGCGTACATAGATTTTAAAATCTTTGTATAAATCTGGATAGATAATGAAGTTAAAATTTTGAAAATTAAAATTGTTTAAAATTTTGAAAATTTAAATTGTTTAAAATTTTATATGACCGTTTTAACGGCCCAACCGGTCTCTGTAACTTTTCTCTGTGTTGTTACAGCTCGGTTGTTGTTGTTGTTGTAGCTACATCGATCTCTGCTTTGAGCCTCTGGTTGAGTTCGAGGGAGAGAGAGAGTTAAGGAAATTTTGATCGCGAGTCTTTGTTCTCGTCTCGGCATTTTCCCTTTGTATAGCACCCTCAAGAGGGAGATTTCGATTTTGTTATGAAACCCGTTCTAGGGGCCAAGTTTTTCGGCGTGCGGAGAACCGAGTGAAACTCCATGCCCGGTTCAAGCGGGCAGTTTTTATTTATTGGGGAGAACCGAGAAAAACTCCCGTTACGTGGGGTTATGTGATAAGCTGCAGATATTTGGCAGCTCCTTCGGGATTCTCCCATAAGCTCTCGATGGTAAGTGAGATTGGGTGTACCGATGGCAATGTGAGTTGAATATCCAGATCGCAATTTTGACAGTGTACATCGAGTTTTGGTGATAAAATTGGGGGACATGTACTTCTGTGGTGCCATCAAGATTTTAAAGAAAATTGTTTCTTTTTTGCGATTTGTCATAGGTCTTATGCTGTGATAGCTAAAATTCAGTTGGTTGTCAAATGTTACTCCTAGAATTTTGGGGTTGCGAGTAGTCGTAGGCTAGCTTCCTCAAACATAACTTTTGGTTGAAATTAAATTCATTGGTCGAAGTTGAGAATATTGGTGTTGTGGACTTATCTGTGGTTAGCATGTAGAAACCTATCACTATCCAAAGATAAGTCCACAACATCAGTATTCTCAACTTGGACCAATGAATTTAGCTTGAACTATCGGTTATTTTGTAGTATACCTATTTCAATTCTATTCGATAAAATATGAGCCTACAACAAGTGGTTAAAGCTGAAATACTTTCGTTTTTATCGAGCTCTTTTTTGGAGTTTTCTGTCTTACGGACCAGTAATAGAAATAAGCATTTGTTCCGAACAAAATGTAGAGAAACTTTTTCTTCTCATGTTTCAGTTTATTAAAGTGTCGTTGAACATAGTTCAGACCTTATAAAGATCGTCATGATTTTTTTCAGGAAAAGTAGTAAAGTTGTTTACGCTCAAATTTGATTTTTGCGGTTGAGCTTTTGATTTTTTCTTAATTCAGTTCATTTCCTTTGTTATAAAGAAGGAAAACTTCATTATCGAACACTTGAAGTGTTAAGTCACGAAAAACGTGATTGACATCTAGTGTGGAATTTAATTTAAGTTCCCAGCGGAAAAAAAACTTTACGTATTGATCCAGTTTCCTCAAATTGAGTTGATTTGATCAAAACGAATCAATCATAAATTGTTCAAGAAATTAAAAGAGCTTTAAAGCCATATGTTTACTTTGAAGTTAGAAAGTTGAAGTTTAAGAAAATTAATTTAATTTGTCTATTCTGTTTCTTTGCGTTCATTGACTTTTTTCCATTTGTCTGTTGGCAATTTTTTTTTTCACGCAATATCAGGTACCTTAAATAAGTTTCGGAATGAGTCGAGTGATATATTGCAAAATAAGTTTTTCAGTGGTGAGAAAATCCGGTTTGCTTTTCAGTCTTATTTTGAGCGAGAAGGTGTTATAATGGCAGAAACAGTCTTCATTTAAGGCGTAAAGAAATTAACTTTGATCTAGGAGAAGTAGTTTTTTAGCTTCATCTAGCGCCTCCACTACAATATGAAATTTTTCTGTCAAATTGAATTTGTTATGTCAATTTTCAAAGCTGTAGTCAAATTGCTTTCATGACTCAATGAAACAATTTAGAAATTTTTTTTATTTTTGTTAAGCTCACGGATAAGCAAGCGTTATCAAACTGGAATATAGTTTTTTTTCTAGCTATCAACTAGTTCAAGATAATCAGTTGAATCACTTGCTGACTTCTTTTCTCTTCTCCTAACATCCTCCAGGCTGCTTCCACTTGTGGCTTGGAGTTAAAACAGTTGCCTTTTACGCTAAGATCTGGGTTTCGAGTCGTGACCTTGTTTCATTCAGTATCAGGGAAATTGAAAAAAAAAATTGATTTGTCATAGGTCTTATGCTGTGATAGCTAAAATTCAGTTGGTTGTCAAATGTTACTCCTAGAATTTTGGGGTTGCGAGTAGTCGTAGGCTAGCTTCCTCAAACATAACTTTTGGTTGAAATTAAATTCATTGGTCGAAGTTGAGAATATTGGTGTTGTGGACTTATCTGTGGTTAGCATGTAGAAACCTATCACTATCCAAAGATAAGTCCACAACATCAGTATTCTCAACTTGGACCAATGAATTTAGCTTGAACTATCGGTTATTTTGTAGTATACCTATTTCAATTCTATTCGATAAAATATGAGCCTACAACAAGTGGTTAAAGCTGAAATACTTTCGTTTTTATCGAGCTCTTTTTTGGAGTTTTCTGTCTTACGGACCAGTAATAGAAATAAGCATTTGTTCCGAACAAAATGTAGAGAAACTTTTTCTTCTCATGTTTCAGTTTATTAAAGTGTCGTTGAACATAGTTCAGACCTTATAAAGATCGTCATGATTTTTTTCAGGAAAAGTAGTAAAGTTGTTTACGCTCAAATTTGATTTTTGCGGTTGAGCTTTTGATTTTTTCTTAATTCAGTTCATTTCCTTTGTTATAAAGAAGGAAAACTTCATTATCGAACACTTGAAGTGTTAAGTCACGAAAAACGTGATTGACATCTAGTGTGGAATTTAATTTAAGTTCCCAGCGGAAAAAAAACTTTACGTATTGATCCAGTTTCCTCAAATTGAGTTGATTTGATCAAAACGAATCAATCATAAATTGTTCAAGAAATTAAAAGAGCTTTAAAGCCATATGTTTACTTTGAAGTTAGAAAGTTGAAGTTTAAGAAAATTAATTTAATTTGTCTATTCTGTTTCTTTGCGTTCATTGACTTTTTTCCATTTGTCTGTTGGCAATTTTTTTTTTCACGCAATATCAGGTACCTTAAATAAGTTTCGGAATGAGTCGAGTGATATATTGCAAAATAAGTTTTTCAGTGGTGAGAAAATCCGGTTTGCTTTTCAGTCTTATTTTGAGCGAGAAGGTGTTATAATGGCAGAAACAGTCTTCATTTAAGGCGTAAAGAAATTAACTTTGATCTAGGAGAAGTAGTTTTTTAGCTTCATCTAGCGCCTCCACTACAATATGAAATTTTTCTGTCAAATTGAATTTGTTATGTCAATTTTCAAAGCTGTAGTCAAATTGCTTTCATGACTCAATGAAACAATTTAGAAATTTTTTTTATTTTTGTTAAGCTCACGGATAAGCAAGCGTTATCAAACTGGAATATAGTTTTTTTTCTAGCTATCAACTAGTTCAAGATAATCAGTTGAATCACTTGCTGACTTCTTTTCTCTTCTCCTAACATCCTCCAGGCTGCTTCCACTTGTGGCTTGGAGTTAAAACAGTTGCCTTTTACGCTAAGATCTGGGTTTCGAGTCGTGACCTTGTTTCATTCAGTATCAGGGAAATTGAAAAAAAAAATCAGAGAAAAGTGAATTGTTGGTTTTTTGTTTGTTCGTTCAAGGTTTGTCGGCCAAATTGTCACGACGGATTTTGATTGTGCTGTAGACAGTTTTCCTTGTAGTTACTAGTTCAATCGTTGTTCATTCTAATATCAGAGAGGACTTGAATGATTAAAAAAAAAATTCATAATTTTTTTTGGTTCAGTTGCTGTCTGCTCAAAGAATGTCGCCTTAGTTGCCATATCGCTTATTTTTTTTGCTTTTAGCAATTTTCATTTTAGTTGCAAGTGCAACTGCTGTTCATTCTATTTTCAAGGGGGACTTGAAAGATTTCCAAAAAAAACGAAAAATCATTTTTTTTCGGTATAAGTCGTTGTTTGCTTAGTTGCAACATCACTGCTGTTTCTTGTGCTGTTAACAACTTTCATTGTAGTTTCAAGTGCCATTGTTGTCCATTGTTTCATAAATCATTACTTAAAAAAACTTTTTATATATTTTTTCGGCTCAACTCGTGTCTGCTCTAAGATTGTCGGCTTTGTTTCTTTTCGTAAATTTTGTTTCGTTGTTTATTCAAAATTCAAATTACTGAAATGTTTGCCTGGAATAAATTTATATCGAGACATATGAAAGTTTATGACCTGTTTTTTTTCAAAATTTCTTTTTTTGGCTTTTATGTTTTTTTTTGTTGTATCGCAAGTGGTGCGCCTCTGTGAATATGGTAGGAAACTAATAGGATAATGAGAAACATCAGAACAGCAAATTTAAAATTTGCGCCTTATAACAGATGGAAACGCTTTTTTCTGTGGATTGATCGCCAGGTTGATTAAAAATGTCATGGAGAAGTATTAATGAACGATTTGATTTAT